AACATTTATATCTTTTCAACTGGATGAAGATAATTCATCCTTGTAACTTTTGTGGAAAGCTTTTTTTTTTTATCATTTATTGGCACCGATGACAATTAAAATTATGAGGGGAGCCGAATAATAATTAATAAAATAAATTGAGAACAAGTTAATCGAGTGTGCGATTCAAATATGAACAAGTTTTTTAAAAATTGATAGAGACTTTCTTCTTAATTATAAGAACAAGTCAAGAACAAGTATAGATATTTAATGAATTTCTGAGAAGTTTTATACAATTATCTAATTATTCTAAAAATTTTCTATAATTGGAACGAGTTAACAATTGTTTCCAATAATTTGTTTCATGTGAAATATTATATGATAAATTATTATATGCATTCAGATAATAGCATTACACCAATTCATAAAAATATGGAAATATTTAAAAAATTTAATAAACCGAATTTCTCAAGATTTATAATGTTAAAAGAGTTGTATAAAAATCTGTTGCAACTTTTCTAATTAAATAATCACCTCTTTTAAATTCCTCCCAACGATTATTTATTCGAACAATTATTACCAACAATATGTCACGATGAGAAACGAATCACCTACACCTAAAAATAAAAAAGTAACTTCAACACCTGTCCAAATATATCAATTCAATTTTCCACTAATCTCTCAAACTTGGACAAATCATCATCCATCACTCGACTGAGTCTTTGAAAAATCACCTACCCACCTATTAATATAAATTTCTTCCCTTTATCAACTACAACGTACCCGTACGTATGAAAAATCGCTTTCACGCTTGCAACCTCGAATTTATTGCAATTTTGCTACCTTCTCACGCACACACATTTAACAACATAAAAGATAAACACATCTTTAAAACACGTAACCTCCACAGGCAAAAATGTCGCGTTATCATTTTTCTCTACATTGTGCCGTCATATTTATGCCAACCTCGTGGCCACCCCTCAATTTGTCTTTTAAAATCGTCGAATCGTTTCGAGGGGGCCGTGCACCGCCGCATATGCATTCGCGATTATTCACTCTGTTGCAACAGGGCCGCCGTAAATAACATTTTTATCTTCGATACTCTTCCCTGTTAAACGAGCCCATCGAGATAAAGCCCTCCTCCCCTTGATAGATATCCTCCACCTATGTCATAATGAATTCTTTTTTGCGCGGTGGCTGTGTGCGCTCTTTCGAACGATTTCTTGGTACGTCTCCGCCCTGTTCGAGTCCATCCCTGCTTCCCGACATCCTCATTATTATTATCATTAACTATAAAAGGGAGGGAGGGAGAGAGAGAGGAAAGGGTTACAGCGGTTTCACACTGGTTATTCTCAGGAGATTGTTTTACTTACGGGCTTCACATGATACACTTAGTGCCCTCTAGCGTAACGATTTGCCAACTAATCGATGTTGAATTTAAAGTTTTAAAATTATAGATTTTTTGCTTCATAATTTTGCAATTTTGGGGATAGGATGTAAAATAAGAATGATTTGAATTGTAAAATTTGTAAATTTTATTAGGAGACTTGTTGTTATTTTTACGCAAGAGAGCTTATTTAATTTCATCGTGAAAATGATTAGATGCAGTTGATTTCGAAAGTAATCGAAACTTTCTGCCAATTAAGCATTCTATTTTTTTTTTTTTTAAATAGTTGGACAATCAATTTAATAGAATCATACAATCGTCAAGTGTTTGGAAAACTTGTCTACGAACAAAAATAAAAATTCGTTCGAAAGAATTGAGAGAAAGAAATTTTTCTCCGAATATAAACGATAGGTTTTTAGATGAAATTGTTGTGAGACCAATAAAATATCCAGTGTGAAAGCGCATTTAAAGGAAGGATGGTAGCAAAATAGAGGGCGGTGATGGCAGAGAGAAGTTGCGCGAGCTGGCTTTCGCTCTGCTTGCATTCGTAACGCGAGAATTATCGATCGCCGCCGAGCATTGCATCATAAATTACTGTTTTTATCCGCGGGCCCCTATTTCGGGGCCCCTTGATCGCCCCCAACCTCTCGCGCGCGTTGGAGATTTATCTGGAATATTAAAAGTCGCTTCCTGCCTCGCAACTTGACGTTCCTCCATTTTTTTCTGTTCGATTATTATTCCCCTGGATAGGTTGGTTAAATAAATTTAATTGCTGGTAAATCTGCGATCAGATGGCAAAAGCTGATATGCTATATTTTTCATAAAAATTGAGGTACATTCTTGTCCATAAGTCGTACTTGATAATTTTAAACGTAAGATAATTCGTTTGTTGTTGATTATATTTGATCAATCGTGAATTTTTTTTGTTTTGTTTTAATAAAATAACGCGAATATTTATTTAAAATTTTTGTCGTAACAATTGTTTTTTCTTTAATCTAATTGCAATAAAATTCGAAAAAAATGAAAATATTGATGTACTATTTATATATGTATCTATGTATAATAATAGTTTATCGACTATTGTAATTTTTCAAAGACGAAGAAAATTTTGTAAAATTGAAAAAGAATGACATATCAAATTTTGCCATTTTGAGAAAATTTTAATGCTAAAAAATATAGTGTATAAAAAACTTATACTTTTAATCTGATTCGATAAACGCTTCTTCTCAAAACACCTGTAACGCAGAATGTTTAAACGAGACAACTTCCTCCATTTTATCACGCTTCAAAAAAATTTATCTGAAGTATTTGAAAACTCGTTTTTGATCGTGCACCTTTGTATAATTCCGAACAAAATTTTTTTATTTTTTTTTACAGTAAAGAATTTAAGATTGAATACTAAAAATCTTTTTAATTACCTCGTAAATATCCAGAATGTGTTCAGGTGTAAGAATTTTTTTTTTTCTCGTGCGTGTCGAAGATTTATCTGCAACCAATCTTTTCCTTGCTACCATGTTCAGTCGTGCAATTTCAACTTTTGGCTTCAACTTCATTAGGATATACATTTTCATTAGTGGATAAATATTTTCATATCAAATTCAGTAAAGATTTAATTTCTTATATCGTAAAATCTGACGTAGAATCATCATTTTCATATACGTATTCTTTAGTGAAATTGAAAATAATTATTGAGAAAGTATCAAAATTCACGATACATTAAAAATGATACAAATACGCAAATATTTGTTAATTTAAAAAAAAATGGCATCTCACATAACTTTCATTTACCTTTAAAAAATCTTTATTTTAAAAACGTATCTCGAATATTATTCAACATAGTCAATATCTTTGATCAATTGTCGATCAATTATCGAATTAATTGTTAAACGAAGATCGTGTCGTGTTTGGTTAAATTTCGAAATTTGGAGGATACTCGCCGATCGGCAATCTTTTCCGCAAAATGGAGCCCGGTTAATGACCACGATCGCCTTTGGGCCGTTCGCTATCTCAGCTCGATTTCGCGTTTCACCGTGCCATTATCATCGCGTATCATCTCTCTCTTCGTGTCGAGAGAGTTCGGTACACGCGAGAATTATCGACGCTCGTTGATGCACACCGCTGTAAATAACAGTTTTTATGCGATTTTTATGCCCTACCGTTTACCCTCGCGGCCGGAGATTTATTTGAAAAATTTTTATTCGCAAAATAAAAGATGGACGAAGGAGAATAAAAAAGGGGAGGAGGCTCAACCCTCTTTCCCGTTCGAGGTTCTTGGGCGATGGGCGAGCATCTGCGTCGAGCGATTTTGTGCAAGGAATAAATTAAAATCATCTGTTATCTTTGAATGAGGAATATATTCGTCATTTGCGAAAATGAAAGAGACGAATAAATTTCGACTTTTCGTCAACTATGATGTGCAACGAATCTAAAGAATATTCCATTTAATATAGAATGGAAAATTTTTATTATTCTTATTCCGAAATCAAGGAATTAAGATTACGTGCTCAAATGATCAATTGTTCGAGTTATCATTTTCTCTCTTTAATTCATCTTGCTTCAAAATTCTTTTGATTCATTCGAAGCGCGCGTCATCAATATTTAAAATAATTATTTTAAATAAATTATCGTTTCAAATAAGTTTCGCCCAAAATTAACTTCGCCTAAAATAATAAAAATTTGAATAAACAACGAATAACAGAAAAATGGAATAGAAATCGAGTAAGATTTCCTTCGTTCGTTTATTCGAATAACGGCGAACATAAAGCGCTCGTGCTTGTACTTTTGCCGTAGGTATACCCCTTGCAGCCGGCTACGTGGTGGAATGCGTTAGTGAACACGCCGGGTGGGTGATTTTTGCAGGGCCGTACCGGACCCTTCTCCTCTATCTTTCCGGTTAAAATATTCGCGATTGATCGCTGGACGTTTATAATATATTTCCTGCACGACGAACGCGTCCACGATCGATCGATATTTATTCAACGACAAGCGCAAGAAATATAACTCAATTTCTAATTGCGAGCGCGGATCGAAACTGGGGATAGGGTTCGCTGACCGTCGCGATTAATGTATTCCATTCTTGGCCGCGAGAGGTCTTTCTTGTCGCGATCACGTGATCGTTCGGGATTCGAAAAGGTTTTCAGTTCGTGCACGAAAAGTTTGTTTCTTGGTGAATTGATTGATTTTAACTTGATAAAGTTTAAATCTTGCATTAAATTGAAGTATTCTAGTTTGAGTTCGAGATTGGAATTATATTCGGGTAAGTTGAATCGAATAATATTATGTTATTTATTAGTTAAGTGTTAATACATCGAAGTCGAACAATTTAACCTATATGTTGACAACTGGATATTTGAATATTTATTTCTATGTTTTTTTGTGGTAATTTTCTTTAAAAATTTTTCGAATTGTTATATTTTGGATAGTTTTAAGCCGATTTTTATTATAATATTAAAAGTTTATGTGAAAAGTTAGAATACCGAAAATAAAAAAGTATTAGGGAAATTGGAATAATGTAAAATACAAAGTAGGTAGTAAACATAAAGGTTAATTTGAAGCGAAAAAAACAAGACAGCATAAGAATTGTTTTTATAATTTATATTTTATAAATATTAGAAGCAATACGGTATACTTAATATTGCAGAATCCAGATACTGGTTTCGTCTTCTGATCTTCGTCATATTTACGTAGATGTAACACTTGTGTACAAGAATTTCCACTTAACGAAGATCCATCAAAGAATGTACTTAACCAGTTTTCTCATGTAATTGATTTACTTCAGGGAAAGACGAAGAAGAGTCGTTAAAATCAAACGACTTGTCTATCGTAAGTTGAAAAATCTAAGAACATTTCGAAAGGAAAAGAGTACATCATGTTTTTTTAACGGAATTGTTTATAAACTTAATTACTATATAATTATACAAGAGGAAGTATTCCTCTTAATAAAATGTGGAATATAATATAAGAAATGCTATAAAGATATTCATACACAATCTTGTTATGATTGTTTTGAAATAGTTAATATTATATAATAAAATAATTCCTTGTTAAATAGTTAATATAATATATCTTGAAATACTTTGATGATTTTGCGAGTTTAGTATTTTTTCATTGAATAATATGATAATTCATTAATTTCAGTCAATTTTTATTATAGCATATTTATTCCAATGCTTATTTGTTTTTATTTTTTCTTTTCTTTATCTCAAGGTATATCATTTCACTAATTACATTAAAATTTTTATATAATAGCTCACATAATGTGAGTTATTTTCGTTTACTTCAATAAATTTAAACACATTATTTTTCTTTTATTGCAATATAAAACAAACTATCAATTTTATCCAAATTGAACTTGGATACTTCTACTAGTAACATTCCTTACTAGTATTCCTTCTAAGTAATAGTATATAATTTACTTATTTATCAACTTTAATTGGTAAATAATTGGTTATTTTAATTAATTGGTAATTTGAGTTACAAAATAAAAAAGTATCACTTAATCTAAAAGATAAACATATTATTTTTATATTCTTACTTATTAATATCTCCTATTAAAACTTTATTTATCACTTATCATACAACACTCCTAATAGAAATTACTAGGATAAAATCCATCTTACGCTCCTGCTCCTCCAAAATGATCCTTCTCAAGGGTCCCTCGTTTACGTTGCACTGTTCGACAAGAAAATTTGCCTTCGAGGTTGAACCATCGCGTATCGCGCTTATACGTGTTCACATATAAAACTCGTATAGACACGGGTGTGCATAGCCAGCCACCGCTGATTTATCGGTCGACATTTTTTCGAGGGATTTTTATTACGTTTTGATCCTTTCGCGCATACATTTAGCGAAGGATGGTCCATGCCAGCGCGTGGACACTCGAATCGCCCTGCGAAATCTCCCCTATCCTCTTTGCTTTTCCCAGAAATCTTTCTTCCTCGTTTTTCAGTAATAAATTCGCGTAATATGTGTATTATGAACTTATTCGTGATAATAATTTACAATAACGGTTTAATAAGAAAATTTAAGAATTAATCGGTACAATTTCAAGACTATTTGACAGTCATTGATATCTAATTGGTAATTGATCGATATATTCATATCAATTACTGGTTAAAGATTATAGGAAGTCATATAAATTTTGGAATATATTTTTCGACCGTAGATTGCAGAATAGAAAAATATATTTTATATTTATAAATATAGATGAAAATAATTGATTCATATTAGTTCATATACAAGTGAAAGAGAGGAAGCGATTTTGAATCAAAGAATGATGTTAAATTTTAAAAAATTAATAGGGATGGTGGATGAATTGAAAAATAAATATTTCACGTATGCATCACGTATACATTATTTTTACAAGAAACATATGTCTAATCTTCGTTAATACATATTTATATAGTTTAAGTAGAATATTCATGCACAAAAGTGTAATGTATACAACTGCATTAATAATATGATACATATAATTGTTATATATACATGTACAAGTTATAACATAATTTATAATCGTTATAAATTAATTACAAATATAATCGGAAATATTGCGTAATAGAGCAGATATTACATGTTTTTCAAATTGAATAAGAAAAAGATCATTAATTTTAATCAATCTTTCAATCATGATGAATCTTTTTTCTCTGGAATAATTATTTCTGATTGAATCTGTCAAAATTATCGTAATACAATCGTTATATAAATATTATTTTTAACGAGACAAAGTTCATTGATAAACTCTTCATCGTCAGTGAATTTTTCTAGCAATCGCGTCGATTATCCTTTGATATGTAGCACTGTCCAAGCCGCAAAATGATTTATCTCGTGGAGAGATGGACAATGCTCTGCGTCTTCGTCTTCGTCGTCGACGTAAAATATCGTCGAATTCATCGTCTATTGTTGGAGGATTAACCTTGGCGTAATAAAGCGCCGCGAAACCGCTGTAGATGAGGAGAGCTGCAGTGGCAAGCTGTTGAAAAGTTCGCGTTCAATTATCAATATTTATCGTTAATAGAAAACTATCAAGAAAAATTTCTATCTCATTTTTTCACGATCAATTCTTTTTGATGAGTGTCAATGATCTAACATCAAACGTTATTTTAATAACGAGATTTTTTAAGAGTCTCTTTTTATGGAAAATGCTCGAAAAGAATTCTCAAAGAATTATTTTTTATAATCTTAGAAAAGTATTTAATAAAATTTCTCAATAAACATCTTACTTTCTTTTGAGAATAGTTTTTGATCTTAATCTCGATTAAACTCGACACGAATGAACCATCAGAAACCACACGCAAATAGGAAGTGATAGGATAGCATATGGAGAATGCACTATTCTATAAGTGTTTGTTCTATAGTAATGCATTTGGTTGGCGCGTTTTTGCGGTTTTGCATCTAACTGTTGTTAGCTGTTTTCACGTTTCTCTTTATTCAACTGAAATTATATTATTACGTATTTATAATTGTTATTACTTTGGTTTTCGTTTGTACATATAATTAAATGAAGACATTTTTTTGCTGGAATTTTGAAATATTCGCACTATCTTTGTGTATTTTAATTTTTGTAATATCAAATGAGACGTTATTTTCTAATATTGTTTAAAAATGTTTTAAATATATCCTGATATATGATATTTTTATCCTTTTCATAGATAGAATATCATATTTGAAATTCATCGAAACTTACTTGAAATACAGCCCAGAATTTATAACTTCCTTCGTTTATCAAAAAGTCATAGTAACCACTCCAATAATCGACTTTTGATCTCATGGATTTCATATCGGATTCTTCCTCTTTCATTGCATGGTGATCATCATCATCGTGGTCATCGTGGTTATTCTGATACATTGATCCGTGATCCTCCTGGTAACCGCGTCGATACATTCTCGGATTTCTAATAAAAAAAATCAAACAGAAGAATATTCGATTATATCATTAATTTAACGATGTCAATTAATTTAATTATGAAAAATACGAAACAATTCTTCAACGTCACAACCTGTACGTTTGAACAGCAGTGCCGATTGCAGATGTGTCGTCATATTTATCGGATTCCGGAAGTATATCAATCTCGTCGAAAGTCGGTTCACTTGTTACATGAGAAACGAAAACAAGTAGCAGAAAATAGTGACACATTAAATTTGTTTGTACTCTATCTGAAATATAAAAGATTTCGAATCATTTAAAAATAACATTCTCCATTTCTTACTCAGCTACCATATTTTAGCCGAGTCGATACACAGTTCAGAAAATAAAAATCCCCAGTATCGAATCAAAATTTTCAACATTACATTGCAACTATTTGAAAAACTCATTCCAAAAATAACAAAACCTATTATCCTAAGTATATTGTTTTGAAGAAATTCAAAACTCGCGCATAAAAAATAAAAATTCCGAAAATCGAGTCACATATCATTTCAAAAATCACAAAACCCATTTTTACTCAGAAGAATAAAATAATTGCCAATATGGGGCGAAAAGTTATCTACCCATAATTTCAATTGCTCTTCACTTGTTTCCAAGGAACCTCGATCGCTTGAAAACTACCACGTCTTGTTCCTTTCATTCGTGAACACGTGTCCATACGCGCACTGCTCTTCTGTTTGCCCTCACCGATTCATGGAAACGAAAAAAACGATTCACCACCGGCCGATACGTAGATACGAACGTTCATTCCTCGGGTTCATCGATCTCGAAATGCCACACGTCTCTTCTTCGAAGCTTTCGTCCACGTTTTCGAAGTTGTCAACACCGAATATCGGTCGAGTGAACCGTCTGTGATAAAATCTAAGGAGAGACTGAACGATTCGTGGGTCCAGTTCAAACATACTGTTCGGTTACCGGTAACTGTATCACGAGAAACGTTAAGCAAATCCAGCGTGCAGCGCTAAAAAGCCCTAATTGTTACATACTTACTCTTACGCATCCTCGTGTCGTCGTCTACAAAGATTTCAGATAAAATTCGGTTTTGAGATTAAAGATCGTGTCTTCGATCGTGTCCACCCAGACGGTTCTATTATCGCGTCGTTGAAAAATAATTCACGTTATGTTTGATTTTTTAATAAGATCGTTGAATCGATGAGGCGTACGGTTGAGATTTGTTGGCTGGGATGAAGGAGTTAATTTAGAGTGGGCGGATGATGTGTTTGTATAGCGTTCTTGTTGCTTTCATGGTCGATTCACGACGATTCAATAAACGATTAAGTTCAAAGTGATGATATTGTCTCGTAATGATTTTGTTGAATATCGATGTTCCATATTTAGCTCTTTTAATAGAATTATTGAAATTTTCGATAATTTGTTAAAAAATGCTAATATATTGGATTGTGTTTGTTTTAAAAATAAAAGCAGTCAAATTTTTTTAAATAAAATAAAATCAAAAATTAAATATAAAATAAAAAGATGAAGTATAATATTCGTAATAATTATTCAATCAGATATACATAGACGCAGATAAGAAAACTGATTAGTACACATACGAGAATATTAATTTAACGGATTTTTTTGATCTCGATAAATTTACGTACAGGTGTAAAATGAAGTTGAGTGTATCCAATTATAAATGTTATATTTATAAGTAAATAAAATTTAAATAGAATAAACATTTATTGAAAGGCCACTGTTAATGAACACTTTAGATCTGATTTTTCAAACTATATATATATATATATATTTTTAAATTAATTGAAATTTAAATTTTTTAATAATTTAATCATAATAGAATCTCAAGTCTTAGAAATCTTCTAATGTATATTTGAAACTAGGATTAATATCAAACAATTTCATAAACATAAAAGAAAATTCGATTAGTAAAGCGTTAATTCATTATTAAAGTTCACAAAGTAATCATTATAAATCATTCGTGAATCCTTTGTCAATATCGAAATTCAAAAATTTCTATTCCCATGTGCACATCCAATTTCTTTCCAGTTATTGAGATAAAAGCACGGTAGCAGCCATGGTTTGGATTGTCGTCATTTTAGCCAATTTGAACGTTTAGCCGTTTCCTGTTGCGATCACTATTTAAACCGTGAAAGGTGCGTATCGGACGGAAAGTTTATTTCAGGAAGAATGGAATTTTTGATGTCATCGTGCACGAACGCATGCTCGTGGATGGTATCTAGGCAAAGAAAGCATTATGTTTGGGTCAGTTAGGCTGCGTGCATCCTCGTACGGTTATTAGGTGAGGCGATTAGCAAGTTCTTAAGCGAGTCCCGTTGAAACAATACTCTAAACCGGCGATAATTGCGACAGATGGTTTTACTTGATGCTCGACTTTTTGCGTCTTATGCTCGTTTGAACGTATTTGCTCTAACCGATTATCTTAATACTCTATAAAATTTTATATCTAACATGAACAGGTGTTTTTCGTATTTAAATTGGATTTTATTAAGATAGAATTGTTATGTTTACTTTATTCTCGGAATGGTATTTTAGCTTTGATTATTTGTGTAATATTTATATATTATAGATAACAGATAGACAGAGAAAAAAATTCTCATTTGTAGTTTCTTCTAATGAATAAGATCAAGATTATCATGTCGTTCCAAGAAAAATAAAAGTAAATCTAAAACAAGCTTAAAGCGGGTATTCATTCGAGACGATCTATCCTTTTTTGAACAAAAATGAATATTCGTGTGTTCTTATTGTATGAAAAATGGAACGTACGTATATAAAATTCGCGAAAGTGCGATACGAAAGGATGATGATTCGTATTCCATGTACGAAATGATGGAATCATACGTGGAATGAAAGCAGGGATGAATCGAAAGGGCGTAATTGGTCAATAGGAATGCGAGACCATTAGAATTCTCGTGCCGTTTCCAGTAATTCTTTCGATTTCGCCGATACTGACAAATTCCGGCTCGTTATCCCCCCAAAAACTTGCGCCACCGCTCGTCGCGCGATTGTAAGAAGCAGTCATAACCGAATACGCTTGTTTCTCAGGAATTTAGGAATCGATCGCGCGCCAAATGATCGCAGCCGCCATTATTATTTAAGATTATAAATTAAATTTTATTCATTATTCGACTGAAGATCAGGCTTGGATAAATTTGATTTCCCCGAATGAGGATAAAGAATAAAGTATAGAAAAGTAATTTGAATGAATTTTTATTAAATTAGTTTCTTTTGAAGTGATGAGATTATGAGCAATTTCGCTCTTGTAAGGAAATATGTACTTAGTTGGAGAAAAGTTATTATATTTATATATATTAAATTTCGCTTAAACAAATTTTGTTTTTTGAAGGTAGGATTCATAACGTAGTAAAGAATTGGCGTAAATTTTCATTTTTACTGTTACGATTACCTCGTATATATTTATGAATAGCGTGAAATTATTCGTACACTTTTTATATAAATATTACATTAAATATTTACAAAAAACTTAATATGTACACGTACAAAATTATTGCTCGTACTGTAATACGTACACCTTATTTATATTACTTACTAAAGTTATATTACAAACAAACGGTGGATGTGTTGTCGAAATTAGAATTCCACGAACTTAATTTAACCATTGCGAGCGATTTGTGTATATCGTCAAAACATTCACCAATATCATAACATTAGATCGTGTAATATGTTCAAAAGTAATAAGGATTCAATATATATATATATATATATAACTCGTATCGCGCGATACTCATTTTCCAAATATAGAGTATCCCAAAACTGGCTGCAACTCGTGATTCAAATCATTAAAAAATCTAAAAAATTTTTCCATACTTCTCGGCAAAACTCTCGACACCCTGCAACGCTTCACCCGCGAAATCCCACCAGCTGAAATCGTTGTACGATCTACCGTGATCGTGATTCACAGCATCGGCCAAATGCGCGGGGAACGTGATCTTGTGCCTTGCGATGCTCTTCAACACCAGGGCAGCGATGTATATGATGAAATAGATGCTGAAATACAGTGGAATGTACCAAAGCTTCTTTCCTATGTAATAATAAGAGTATGGCCTCTTGTTGAGCCTCTGATCGTTCATTTCCGGTTGTTCGGTGTGGTATTCCGGTATGTGGTCGTAGATCACCTCGTGATGATGATGGTGGCCGTAAGAATGGTGGTCGTCGTATGGCGGATGATCCAGATGGCCGGAATACTCGATCGGTTTCGGTGAATCATTGTTGTAAGACGTGTCCGGCTGATAATCGGAGTAGTCGGAATCGTGGGACGCCATGTAAGAATCCGGTTTGTAGGAATCTGGTGGCTGAAAACGATCATTTGCGCGGGTTTAAACTGAGATTGATCGGCTTGGAATTTTAATTACAGTACGGTGGATGTTTGAAGCTTGATGAGTGTGTGGTGGGTATTATGTTGAAATGACGATTAAAAATCTGATTTGGTGAAGATTTTTTTTTGGATCATTGAAAAGAGGATTGATGAACGCGATGAGAATTTGATAACGCATTGAATATTTAATTCAATAATTTGTATTCGAATTATTCGAATTATACTTTGTCGTGTAGGAGATCGAAATCATATACAAACTTCAACTTGAATATCTTATCCCTCTTTACTGTCACTTCTTATTATCATCCGTCAATTTCAAGGTTTATTCGATTAATTTCCCAATAATGTATACAAAGTAGTTGAAGAGAGAGAGAAAGAGAGAGAGAGAGAGAGAGAGAGAGAGAGAGAGAGAGAAGAGCATGTATTAAATTTCAAAAGCAAAGTAGAGTATTTTGATGTTCGAAGAATGTACCTTGTCACTTATCTCAGAATCTCCGTAGTCGTCCATCGACATTGGCTTCGAGATCGGTTTGTCGCCGAGGTAATCTGGCGGTTTCGAAATCGGCTTACTGCTTAAGTAATCTGGTGGTTTATAGTCGTAGCTCTCTGAAAACGTTGGCTTAGAAAAGTCGAACATGCTCGAAGATGATGGGCCAGTTGGTGGACCGCTTGGTGGGCCGCTTGGTGGGCCGCTTGGTGGGCCGCTTGGTGGATTGCTTGGACGATTGGCAGGTTTCAAGTTTTCCTTCATATCGTTCGATGGTTCCTTGTTTTTGAAGCTAAGCGGCGATGGATGATACCTGTCCTGAATCTGTTTCTTTGCGTTCTTTGTGTTCAGTTGTGCTAATAATTCGTGGTCCAATGTTGTGTATCTAATTATAAATTAATATTTCGTATAGAGTAAATAGTGTATTTCTTCATGAGTATTGTGAAAGTTTTTGATGAAGTTCAGTGAAGTGAATTGTTGAAAAATAAAAGAAATATTAAATCAGAATATGAAAAATATATACTTGATACTGCGTTTACATTGTTTATTTAATTTTTAATATCGTGACGCATTCTTTAATATTTGATTGCAAATAATTAAATCTTCAAATGGAATTTAAAAATTTTAATTTTATAAACATAAATCTTTCTTACCTTCCAACAGAGGGATAATTAACCGCTTCGCCATTCTTTAGATTTTGAATTTTCGGTGAGATGTATACAGGTGACATAGTGATAGCTATGTTCTTGATACTCCTCGATTCGCTTTGCGTTCCATTGCTTCGTTGCAACAAATCGGAAGAAAAAAAGAATTATCTAATTGAAATTAGATTACTTTTGTATTTGGAATATATCTTGAAAATTTGAATTCATTTTTTCACTATGTCTTTTTAAAAATTATCCAATCGTAATTGTTATCAACTTTACGAAAATAATAGAAAGGTTAAACGTTCTTCGTTGTCTTCCAAAACGATCAATGATCTAACCTGAAGATCCACGGATCATCGTTCCTCGCGTCCATGTCCTCTTGACCGTTTCTCGACACTTTCGCATATGATATCACTTGAGGCAAGACCGAGTGGATCGACAGACTTGCTAAAAGCACTGAAATTAATACGCGTATCATCTTCTTCGACATCCAAAGATGAATGATCAAGGAACTTCGCCTCGTGTCTTCTATATACACTCGTAACTGTATCTCTCGAGCTACTCGTTGCTAATTTATTGTCCAACTCCATTTTCACCTGTTATTTATAATTTTCTTCTTTCTTTAATCTGAAAAAAATCGTGTAAATTTTGAGACAGAAATTCGAATCGATTGTCAAATATTTTATATATTTTTTTTTTAAAGAATTGTGTAGGAATTGTTTTTCGCTTTCGTTTTTGAATATTCAACAATTCGTTCAATTCGACAAAACATTGGCCGTGCGGATGATGGTGCTAATGGGACGAAACAACAAGACTTGACAAAATTCTTCTAATCTGTTTGGCAAATTATAACACACCGTTACGTGGTGGCCGAAGTTTGGAATCGAACGATGAATGGTGACCTTGAGATCATTGCTGAAACTATCAGAAACTGTCAGAATTATAAAACACTATTTACTAGAAAATTGAAATATTTTTATGAGCAAATAATATATTACGAATGTCTAAATTATGAATAGGTACTTTATTATTTGACGTATAAATAACGTGAAAAAAACGTCGCTATCGTGCTGTTGAACGAAAATATTTTGCGATGTCTGAAAGAGCGTGTATTCATTACAAAATCATTATAAAAAAATTTAATGGAAGCAATAAGGAAGTAACTTTGATTATTTGTATTTTCATTTATTTTTCTATTCGGTCTATGGGATATTTTTGTATTTTTATCCTTCTCGTAAACGATATAACTATAATACATTATGAAGATTCGTAATTACGCGCTACTTGCGTATAATTATATCACATGTTTCCGTCGAAGAATTATCATTATTTTCTTATTTAACATTTTTTATTATACAACATTTGCGTCAATTCTAACATGCCTTATGTCAATTATGTATATTGAGATTTTTCTTAGTTCGTTTTCATCTATTATTATTGTGCAAAATTTTATACAATTTTTTTTTTAAAAATATTATAAAAATGGTTTTATAATTAATATTGTTAGAGGTATTTGAATATATCTTGGTTTTATATTTTCAATTAGAAAATAATTGCTACTTTATTATAGTTATTGGTATCGTAAATATATTTCTTTGTAATGTTGAATATTTTTTAAGTTGTAAAATATTAATATTTATTTATAATATTTCTACTACTCTTTTTCAGTATTTATTTCATATTTATGAGTATTTTAATATCATTATCTACTTTTTCTTTTTTTTTTTAATAATATTTATCAACTCGGTTAAATATAATTTTTCTATTAATTTCATTTAAAATATTATAATTATCAATATTCTTTAAGAAAATTATTAATATCACTTATTCCTATTAATATCAAATAATAAAAATATATTTTTTGTAAAGTAATTACATAGGTATTGCATAATACTGTGCAATCACGTTTTGTAAATTAAATATGTTTTCAATGTTCTACTTTTATATAGTATTTTTTTATAATTTTTTTTAATATTTTCAATATTACTATGAATGATAAAAAAATATCTACGTGAAATTATATTTTTAAAGCATAGAAGCATAGAAAACATATTTTAATCGAAAATCTCTAACAATATTAATCACATGGGTTTTTTGGAATTTTCTACGTAACGATTTAACGATTTAGATTTATATTCGTTACATCTTTAAAACTTAACTGCATCTAAAAAAGTTCTAAAATTTTATTTATTATATTACTATTTTATTTATGGATGATTTTTAATATATTAACTTCAATGTTATTTTAAGAAAAAAATAACATACTTTACTTTATAAAATAGAGATTTTACACATTATCCTAAGTTCAATACACATAAAATGTTACATAGTTACAATATGTTTGCATGATTTCTCGAATATTTAAAAAAGTAGTATAATAAAATTAATTCGATATTGCGTGAAGTACATGCACGATGCTATTTGTTGCGAAATAATCCCGAATAATATTCGAGCATGATCAAATTATGAATAAACAAAATCTTCATCATCATCATCACTGCAATATTATTTGTAATTATTCGAACAATAATAGAATTCGATTACAAATTCAAATATATCGTACAATTATTAATTGAAAAATTAATGTGTTTATATTAAAACAATCCACAAAAAGAATGAATGAAAGAAAATATTAAATAAGAATACTTTTAAATAAATATTAGAAATAATATTTTCTCTCGTAGAAGATTCTTTCTTAGAATATTTTATGATAAGAAAAAAATATAATTTTTAATAAACTTATTTCTCATCGTCATCTCTAATAATTAAAGTTTTACAATTAATACATTTTCCACGTAATCATCGTTAATCATGTTTGTAATAAAAACAATAATAAAACTCGGTAAAAAAACGAAATTAAAAAATTCTTTTTAAATGACTAGGAATTCTATGCATTCGAATAATCACCAACAATCTTCTCGATTCGACAATCTCCTCCAATCACGTGTACAAACTTTACATATTGTAAAATATATACATGTACACCAAACTCCTCTTCCATACTTCCATCCGCATTTCTCACTATCTCGTTTCGTATACCTGTATTTTACACCTTCAACGGTATAAAAATCGTTTCGCGACAAAAAAAGAAAAAGAGTATCGAGATCATTTAAAGGGATTTTCTTCACTTCTTGTCTTCCGGTTGTTTCTCCACGGTTACGTTACACCTAAATCGATCGCTCTCCAAGCCCGGATTCGCGCTGCCATTTTGTTTCGAGCATTCTTTCGCTCGATCGCGCTCGTCAGTTTGCATTTTCTTCAACCTTTTCGCGCCAAACTTCTTCTTACTCTCGTCAGATGGCATTTTTTCAATTTTATCGAGATTCTTCGCGTTATTAATCGCCTCTATGTTATTCGTTCGTTGGCTCTCCCTCGAAGATCTCACGCCATCTTGTTCCCTGATGAACGCTTGATTGTCGATCCCTGTTAAATTGTTCGATTCGTTCTTCTCGTTCTCGTTCGTCGAACGTTTCTTCTCTTCCAAATCGATCTCGATGATTCCACGCTCGAGACCATTCTCCACGTTCTTCGGTTTCTTTTTCACTATGTCGTTCCCCTCCACCTGTGGCCGTTTCTTCAGATAAGCCACGTTGAAGATGTAGTACATTATACCCGTGATCAGGGTGACCACTGCGAAGATTCGATACGTCGGTCGAGTGCCGAAGGCTTTCATTAGGTATCCACCGATCAAGCTTCCTGAACCCTTGCCTGCAAGTATTAAATGATGATTGTTATTAGAGGAGCGTGTAGTTCACGCGTGTAAAATGTGCAAATGCGAACATGTACGTATTGTAATATTATGGTACATTTTTATCGTATAAGAAATTGTTGTATAAAGTTGATGTATAATAATAAATTTGATCGAAGATTATTTCGAGGAGGTACAAGGATGAATCTATTATTTCGTGTATTATCATTACGTGCTTCATGGAATTTATATTTTTATATTTCTTATACAGAAATATATTTTGAACATCGAACAAAAATATCTTGTTAATAATATAAATATTTGTTCTTTCAGATATTGTCATCGCAAATAATTGAAAACAAATTGCAATGTTTTTCTCTTTTGAGAAAAGAAGAAAGAGAGAGAAAATTGCTCACCAACTCCGTAATAAACACCACCTAATAATCCTTGTATCGAGCTGTCGGTGGTAGTAGTGGATAATTTTGCCGCGTAAGTAACAGCGGCGGTGAAACTAAGCGATAAAGTAACGGATTCTAACGCTTCGAAGAAAAGAGTGTGCCAAGGATTGTATATCAAGGAGTAACCTGTAAAATGATACCAGAATGTAAAATCATTCAAAGATACAAATTGGATGTTAATTGGATGTGTTAAAAAAATTATTTTTAATAAACCAAAAAGTTATTTTTAATAAAATTCGCATATTATTGCATTCGATCGGAAAACATGTTGCCAGAGTACCAATATCTTTTCTTGAACTCCCTAAACAGGGAATACATAATTAAACGAGCACTTCGATTAAACACGCTAAAATCGAATTCCTCATCCTTTTAGTCGGATACAACAACAAGTTATCTTCACGTCGAATCTTAATTCGTTAATATAAAATGAGTGTAAATAAAATCGCTAATAACCAGTTATTTTTTAAATTAGTCGCAAAAGGGAGTCGTACGTTTCATCGAGAGGAGAACTCGTAAGAATTAAATATGATTGCTTACCGCAAAGTCTTATGGCGTAAAAAACGAAGCCTATAAAAAGTACATTGGCATGGCCGATCTTGGATATGATTGGGCCAGATAGTACCAGTAATGGTATACCGGCAATACCGCCTACGGTTATGGTGATACCCATGAGCGATCTTGATCCTCCTAAATCTTGTATCAACCAAAAGAGGAACGATTCGATGTATCCCCAAGCGGTTCCTGCGGAGGGAAAAAAATATTTATCTCGGTGGAAATCGTCGGTTCTCGCGTCAAGCTCATTGAGTATTTTTTTTTTTTTTAAAGTAACTTACCCTTCTTGGAAAAATTTATAAATATTTATCACGGTGAAAGAAAAGTTATTAAATATATCGTGATTCTTATTTCATTTTTCAATCGAGCGACAAATTTTTTTTTTTATTTTAACATCATTATTAGACGAATTATGAATTTTATGAAGCCAGAATGTTTTCAAATGTTTGATCAATATAGAGAAAATATATTGTGTGAAACATGTATATTAAATTCGTTTATATCGCAATAACAGACCATTGCATTCGCACGAATGAAACCAAGTTTTCATATAAAAAAAAAAAAAATACGAAAGGAAAAATTTTCTTATCAAATTTTGCCTCGCTCGCAAAAAAAAAAAGAAAACCTTGGCATTGAAGCCAGTTTTTATTCTATCCCGATATCTCGATTGATTCCTAAGATATAAAGACTCAAAATATTTGAAGTGTTTAAGGCAAATATTATAAATGAATTATTAACTATACTTCTTCTTGGAAATACGTGTTATGTTTTTCGAGGAATTGCTTCTGTTGTCTGAATTTTGAGATAGGTCAGTGAGACAAGGTGCGAGCAAGAGGTTCGAATAAGACAAGAATGGAGAGTACAGTGAAAGATTAAAAATTACTTTTTCCTTTACACGACGATATCTCGGGAACCGAATGTCGTATCGGAATAAACAAAAATTTAAAGGGCAAGATTCTACGCTTCTATTGATCGTAATCGATCGTTGATCGGAATTACAACGATTCAAATTTTTCCTAATTTTAATCTTTTTCTTGAAATCACTTAAATTTGATCTTTGTTCAATCGATCGATTCCAGTTTAATTACGTTGATTAATCAAATCAATTTTTATGGATCGTGAGAAATATCATTTTCGTGTCTGTATTCGAGTGTTCGCGTACTGTGTAATAATTTTGTTTTATCGACGAGGAATGTCAATGTCGGCGCAATTTCGTTATCCGAGCAGTGTATCAAAGATTGGCGGAAACGAGCAATGACAAGGATTGCGCAATTCATTCGAGCGTACACTTTTTCAAACGTTTTACAAGGTTTCGTAGAATTCAGGAATGCAATGATATATAACTCGTTTATTAACCTTAAGTGAGATTACCATAAAAAGGGAAGCGGAGATTTTTTTTTTTTACCGAGAATGAAACAGGCGATGAAGAGCGCCGCAGCCTCTATGTTCCTTAGCACGGTGAAAACATCGCGAACGACATTTGTGGCGGGTGATTTGAATTCCAAATTAATGGCGAGCATCAGGACACCTGAGATCAGCTTTAGAGCCGCGTACAGATAAAATGCTGGCCTGGAAAACGCGCAATAAGTCGAATGAGAATTTTTCTAAAAATGCAAAGGAGAACAAAATTTATTTTACCTCCTTGAAAGTTTTTGTTATAAAATATATATAATTAAAATTCAAGGATTTTCTTTCGATAATTTTCCAAATTTTTATAATCGTTACGAGAAGATAGGGAGGGCTGTAAAAAATTAATCTTTACCTGAAATCGGTGTAACCTTTGCCGGTGCTCGCATAATCAATAAGAAGCCCAGAGAGGGGCGATGATATCATACCACCGATGC